GAGAGAGAGAGAGAGGGGGGGGAGAGAGAAAGCTAGAGAGAGAAAGAAGAGAAGAGAGAGAGACTGACCTACTGACTGACTGACTGACTGACTGACTGACTGACTGACTGACTGACTGACTGACTGACAAAAGAAAAACGCCGAGGAATTGGGCTAATACGATTCCTTGCCTGCCACCAAAAGAAATACATATTTGCAACATTTTAAGCAGTCTTTGTCCCGTGAAAGCAAAAAGAAACACATGCAGGCTTCGTCTTCTGAGAAGTTTATGTCATCACTGCCAATACTGTACATGCCCTTGATCTAAATAACTTAGAAACTAAAGAATGCAATGTCAAATGACGTCAGTGCTGTTAAGACGACAAGGTTCCATTCCTAACTACTGACCAGCCGGCCAATTTATTACCAGTTTTAATCATATTACTGTTTATCAGACTCAATGGACTTTTTTAAACCCACACTGCTCTCAAATTTGTGTTTATCCCACTTTATCGTCACATTACTACTGGTCCTGTGAATATGACGAACTCTGTATTCTACATACGTCAGCGGTGGGTTGCTCAAAGGGCGTGTATCAGGCAGAATATCGGAAGAGGGGGGCAGTTATTGAGGCTTAGTTTGCCATACTAAGAGCACTTCACATTCATATCATGTGTTAGGAATACATCGACACCTACCAGTGCAAACACTCTTACATTGTAGGCTAATCTGTGTACTTACGTACTGATAGCATGAAAGCATATATAATGATTGACTGGTGGTGTAAATAATGTACACATGTACATCGGTAGTCATTACAATATAACTTTATTTGAAATTGCCCCTTCTACGATCACGAAAGAAATAAAGGACCTGTTTGATGAGAAATTCAATCTTACGTTCTCCACGTTCACAGAAAACTACTCTCCTCTTAACATCACAAAACCCACGTATTATAGAAAAAGTGGAATCATTCGTTTTACACTGTCTCGGAAAAAGACGTCGATCCAAATAAGTTAGAATTTAGTATTAAGTAGTTAGAATAGTCACATTCTATGTTGTTATCCGTTGCCCATCCTTTATTTTCACGTTACATGTCCTTGCAATTAACCTACGGGCAAGAACTTGCAACAAACTTTCAATCTTCCTATAACAAAACGTGCGAACTATAAGATGTTGATGTGTTCCACCAGTGGCCGTAGCGCTGATCAACAGTTACGGTGTCCGCTGGGCCACCCGTCTGCAGGACTTCCTGACGCTGTGGAAGGTGGTGGCGCTGGTCGTCATCATCATCTTCGGCGTCATTCAGATGGGCAGAGGTGAGGGGAAAACGCGTACAGAATCACTCATGTACCTATCAAGGTAGATCGATCTGGGTCGTGAGGTAATGCGTTTGGGGTAGCGGTGGTTGAACAATACAAGTGTCATTTTTGGATATAAAGATACATGTACACCTATCCGCAGGAAATGCCCAAATGCAGCTTTCTACATAGGTTATACTTGCATCAAATGTCGCTGGTTTTCTTGCATGTTGTTAGTGTTAAGAGTCATTAAAAGAGTAGCCAGGCAGCTGGTAGGGTTCCCATGGTATACGTGCTGCTATCTGGTCTGATCTTACCTAGACCTGTACGTGCAATATGGATGAGATATATAGAGATTATGAGCTCTAAAGCGAGATCTGACACCTGTTAACACTATAGGATAACGGGTATCATAATAATACCACGTCTACGCGTTTAGAACCATAACTAATCACACACAAATAACAGAGTTTTTTATCTGTCAGGAAGCACCCGGTACATCGAGCCGACCAGCGCCTTCAGCGGGACGACCTCCTCTCCCAGCGCCGTGGCCTTGGCTTTCTTCTCCGGACTGTGGGCGTACGGCGGCTGGTGAGTAACTGGAACAAGGGCAGGCTCATCCGTAACCTTGGTTCAAGGGGAACTCTGACAGGACCTCCCAAACGGATTGGTAACAGCTTGTGTGAAACGTCTGTGAAGAGAGAGATGAGAGGAACTCGTAAATGATAGTTTACAGCAGCCTCCTTCACAGACTTGTGGGGTGGCGGCGTTAATTTTTTTCAGGGAACGACGCGAGTTTATATGCCGCGGAGGGACGGTTTTGGGGTTGGGCGGTGAAAAACTCTCTCCCCGGCAAACTCCCTCGGCGGCAAAACCGCCCCTCCGCGTTGATGCAGGACGTATCAACATCCATTGCACGGAATGAAAACACAAAGTCAAACGAAACAACGCAGTAGATGATATGGTAACCTATCATACATGTACAGGGTACTGTGATGTTGTAAACCAACGTCTGCCAAGTCTGAATTCAGGAACCGGTTTTATCAAGGGCAGAAATAAGCCACCCTGATTCACCTGCAAATAATGCAATCAATTGTTACTTTTTTTCTACATTAATGATAATTTATCTGGTACAATTCTATTATTGCCCCTCCATTTTCTGACATGCCATGGTGTTCTGAATACTCAGGACGGATCTCAACATGGTCGTGGAAGAGCTGAAAGACCCATTCAGGTACGAATACTTTCCAATACTAATAGAGATGTCATAACTAGCGAACTTATATATTGACACGTTGATAGATGAGAACTTGAGATCAAAAGGTATGACATGTGTGGGTATTGTATGTCAGTCCTATTGTTTCTTTGTTTTCAAGGCTAAAAATATGTTTGTATCCTCATGAAACAGGGTTGGACTGTAATTTCCCAGACAAGAATTGGACTTACCCAATTTTGTTTTATATCCGAGGCTGTTATTTTTTGTATCCGAGGCTGTTATTTTGGAATTCATAAATAATGCACGTTGCGAATATGGTTGTACATATTGTTCTGTCGATGATTCTTCAGGAACCTTCCCCGGGCCATCGCCATCTCCCTCCCCCTGGTGACGCTAGTCTACATCCTGGCTAACGTCGCCTACTTCACCGCCATGTCTCCTACCGAGCTCCTCAGCTCAGACGCCGTGGCCATTGTACGTAAACCCCTTCTCAACAAGGAGGTTCTATGCAAACGTTCATAACGAATTAGCTTTCAAAAAATTTCCTGCAATGTCCTCTATAGTCCCCTTTGCATACGTGTATATGAAAATATGGTGTTTAAAGGTAAAACGTTTGCTCCAACACAAAACAGAAATGCTCTCATCAATAGATATTTCCACTCGCCAATAGGTGAGAACATTTCCCTTTACTATTGGAACAATAGTTTTACCTTTAAACATGTAACTACCAACACAGATGAATTTTCATGATAGTCAGTATGAAAATATGGTGTAATATATGTTATGATATATCTATCAACATTCTATTCAGTCACATACCACCCACCATTAACCCCCTTTGGGATCCAATTAATACTAATAGAACATTTCTCCACATCTGCCAAGGACATGCTAAGAATAGTAACATCTCAAAACAGAAATAGCCTGACCTGAAACGACCTTGAAGAGGTCAGGGCAGCGGGATCACTACTTCCATGTGGAAGTAGTTTGTCTGGTATTCTGTGAAATGTTAAACTGTGGTGTCATGTTCAAGTTCAAGCCGTTTCCCCGTCATGTTGACGCCTTCCCCGCTGTTTTCTGTGGCAGACGTTCGGTGACCGGTTGCTGGGGGTGATGAACTGGTTAATTCCGCTTTCCGTGGCGCTGTCAACGTTTGGAGGGCTCAACGGTGGTGTGCTGACGTCATCACGGTATGTGTACAGTTCTGTGTAGTCACTGACACATCGTCTTAGAAACGTGACCACTCAGTTCTCATTTCCAGGGCTATATGGCTTCCTCTTAGAAGAGCATAAGCAATATTGTTTGAATCGCATGTGTTGATGAATAAAAAAATATTGTTTGATGATCGACTGCGTAGGTATTTCCTCACAGCCAGGTGATGTCCTAATATTTTGTCTCAAATTTGTCCCTGTAGGTTGTTTTTCGTCGGTGCGCGCACAGGACACCTCCCTGAGATTATGGCGATGGTTCACGTGCACAGACTCATACCGGTACCTGCTATCCTGGTGGAGGTCAGTAGTGTCTACTGCAGTCCGTAACCGCCGAATTCTGGGTTGAAAATTAACCATGAATAAACAAGAGGTCCAATACATTTCTGTCGTGAAATTTCGTCATCAGGATATTGTGTAGGTGTATATAAACAACATTTTAATCAAATGTTTCATGAATTGGTCTAGAGGAATCAAATCGCGTTGTGAAGTATCCCATTGAAATAAAACAAACACACTGACTGTCCTCAGACTGCCCTGATGTTGATAATGCTGAGCACCTCTGACGTGTACACGCTGTTGAACTACATGGGGTTCGTGTACTGGTTATGTATCGGCGTGGCTTGTGTGGGACTACTGTGGCTGAGATACAAGCAGCCGGACTTACCCAGACCAATCAAGGTACACGCCCCACGGGCTGGTCCAAATGCAATATTATTGTCTGCGTATGTCTAGACTAAGATCTTATCCAAACCGGCTATAGGAGATTGGGGGAGCTTCTCTGTAGTATAGCATTCTCCAGCCTGAGTTTAATTTTACTGTCTCGTAACTGATCTGCTAGCGGCAGTGTATTGGCGGGTTACATGTAAATGTTGCAACTGCTCAAATGATGGAATACCAAAGCTTGATGATGGAGTGAAATAGGGCATAAAGTTTTTAGGTCTTTTACAAAATGATATCCATGGGTTTCTTTTCAAATTTCTTTTTCTGTGATTAAATTTCAATGTTCGAGGTTTTCTGGATTCTAGTATACCAGTATGATACCGACATCTTTGTTGTTGTTAGATCACACCCGCCATCCCGGTAATCTGCACCTTGCTGTGTATCTTCGTGGTGGTGATGTCGGCCATCTCTGCGCCGATAGAGGGCGCTATTGGACTAGCCATCCTGCTGAGCGGCGTCCCGGTGTATTTTCTCTTCGTGTGGTGGGTCAACAAGCCGAAAGCGTTCCTCAGATTCATACGTAAGTGTCAAGAGACTCAAGACTTGCTCTACAGTGGAACAAAGCACGCTAGCCTCCATAGCAGGCTGCGTAGGAGGCGTTGTGTTGGCTTTGTATGCGCTGTCTTCTCAGTGTTGCTAAAGGTTTTCTGGATCTATTCGTTTGGCGGCCCAGAGCCTGATAAATATATATGAAGGCTATTAAAAATAACAAAAAATAGGGTTGACTGTGAAATACAATTTGTACAGAATACAATTAAGGTACATGTACTACTATTCTGTGTCTAAACCTTAAAGTTATATTTTTTCCTTGGTTAAAGTGCTGGTACATTTGAATCAAAGTGTAAAATATTCATTCCGGACTAGAATTGTACTTTGAGGTCTGATTGTGATCTTGTCGTTCTTGTACAGGCTTTATCACCACCAGGCTGCAGCTTCTCATGAACGTTGTGCCTACAGACGACCAACACACGGACTGAGGGTGGGGAGGGGGGCAACATTGGAACATGTGCCGAGAACCAAACATATCGGACGTACACTCTCACACGTGTATCTACGACTGAAGAAGGGGAATAAACTTGTGGAGAATCAATAGTAACACAGAAAATAGCGGAAAGTGACAGAGTTTGACTTTAAACGTAAAAAGAAACAAAATATCCCACTATTGTCACTATGATATTACATTTCTTGTCTAGTAGACTTGGATGTTCCAACATAGCCGGAACATTTGTGTACATGTAAAGATGCTTTAGTCACTCGCTTTTAAGTCCTAACATATATGACTAGTAATATATATGATCTGTCTGACTAGTTATAATATTAACTATTAGTTTATGTATCCATATTACTCAACAACTATATAACAATACTGATCGTACTAATGTAATGTGTAATGTTTACAGAGCCTAAGATCAACGGTAGAACATGTTCCTTTTATCTGTACATTTTGTATATACAATGTAGCAAAAATGATCACTGGAAAATCGTTATAGTGTGAAGATAATGATAATTAGCAGTGTAATTCTTTCGCATCATCAGACTATTGCTATTGGGCCAAATAGTACGAAAACAACGTACTGGCACATTTTCAGCGCCTGTAAGTAGCAGCGAAGAAAATTAGCTACTAAGTATTCTGCCCCTCGGACATATCTCGGTTGATATTAGTTTGGCTACTGGTTTTCCTCAATAAACGGAATAGGGTCATCTCGTGACCTGTCATGACCTCTGCTGACCCACCCATCTGTCTTCATTATTCCTGAAGGATGTATGAATACATAAGAGACCCTCCTTTGTGAACGCCCGACAAGATACAAAATGCACTCAAAAATTGTTGTGTTTACAATGAATAAAACTCTTGACCTGCTTATACAGTGTATCTTTTTACCTATCACTTTTTTCCCGGCGTCCAAGATGGTTATGCCATCTTGGAGTAACAACTGCTCAATGCAACGCCCCCTATCATGTACGCAATGTGCCGATGAGGTACATGTATACAATAAATTTTTTCTTACTTCTACGTGTATGGCAAAGATATAAGCGAAGAGAACACATGTACATCAGGGTTGTTTTCCTGCCCGTGGGCCTAGTGTGGTCGACAATTGATGAATGTGTGTAACAAATTACAGAACTGAAGGATTCATAAGACACTGATGACCTGTACATTTTTAATGAGGATATCGTCGTCTATGGGGCTGTTTATGCCTTAGATAAGATTGCACCCCACAAATGTGGCTACGTCTACGGTGATTAGGATCGTAATGAAGGAATCCAAATGACACCCAGGGGGGCAGGTATGACCTAAATATGTAGTATCAAACATAAGCTTATCTTTGAGAGTCGCTATGTTGTTTTTCTTTTGTACGTTTACTGACAAAAATCATCCACAAGGTCTGTCACTTGTTTCCACATTGCTTGGGTGCTGCAATTGAGGTGCGTTTCTGTAGAGCGCCGCTAGGAGAGGTTTCTGGAACAGCTACCGATAGGTACGGATAAGCACTGTCCAAGTAGAGGGATTACCGGCATTGATGAGCTTTTATGATGGTGCAGTCATCTTTAATTGTCCATAAACGTAGCACACAGAATGTGCATTAAGGTTTGGAGAAAATCGAAGTCATTTGCATAAAGTACATCATTCCTGCTGGGGGTCGTAAGTTCACGAAGACCAAAGAAAGTTGTACAGTTCTGACAATTTCACTGTCTAAAGCTTTTATTCACGCAATTCAGCCTTGTGGCTGCCTAGTGATGGAGCTGTATTGTGATTTGTGTTTGTGTTTGAAATAAACCCCAAGTATAGAAATAAACCCCAAGTATAAACGCCAAATAGATGTGGAATAAAATAAATAATAAATAAATGAAAAATATATACAGTAAATGATTAATATATACAGTATTTTAAACTTCAAAAACATATTGTTGTCTCATTGAATTTTTGACGGCGTCTACGGCTTCCTTTAACATAAACAAGTGATTATTCAGTAAGTTTTACGATATTAGAACAGTGGTATGTTCACAACAATGTTATTACCCAATTCAAGGTGATTTCCGTTGTCGAGCATACATCTAAAATCAGTAACAAGCTTCATACAGTGTACAGAGGTCATATGTTAACGCAATTAAAACGTCTGCATGTATATATTTTTTTACATCGATATTATTCTCGGTATAAAATTTCTTTTATCCCGTACTTCTAGTCGATAATATCTCTCTCAGTACAGGACTTCCTATCATGATCATAAACCGCAAAAGCACTGGGTCAGTTCTGGTTGGTCACGGGAGTACGGTATTAAATAGCTCGGATATTTATCTTGTCCGTACAGACTTCCCGACTTTCGTGTGTGTCACCGGATGAGCTGATCATGAGGGTCGGCAACCCCATCTAGGCCGGCCAGTCACGTGACCAGCAGACACCTGCTGTGCAGAAAAGGTTAACTGTAGTTCAACATGTAGTATACATGACACGGAGAGACCTATTTGACATCAACCATCAAGCCCGCAGGGGCATAGTTAAAACAGGCGCTAAGGGTTAACAGGGGGTCAACACTACATTGATAACACTGGTGATTGCACTGTCTCGTTGTAAAGTCAATATACATGTATCAATAAACAAATAACAATAACTTTTATTCATTAGTCTGATTGGCAGAAAGGAAAGGCAATGACGAGTGGTCAAATAGTGCAAAACTAATTTTTCAGCCAACTGGCATTTCTTTCTGTAAAGGTGCACATGTAATATGCTATTTTGTTTATGAGGCGAACATGTATTTTCTCAATGCCACAGGACAGCCCTATTTGCCCGCTCCCTGCATGGATATATATCCTAGTTATAGAATTATGCTTTGTGAATCAGATGACAATCTAACCATCTGTGTAGATGCTTCAAACTAGACATTTCACACGTATCTATGTCATGGTCAGTATCTGCTAAACATAGGATAACGATGTTCACCTTTATGACCCATGTTACAAATCAGTATAATATACAAATCATCATCATAGATATCCACACGGCATATACTAGCAGTATTGTACTGTACTGGGATTAAGACTTTTAGCAACCTTGGTGGACACAACATGATCAAGCCATTCAAGGTTAAAACTGACACAACATCATGCGATTTGTTGATCATGTTGATTTACTAGCTATATGTATATATAGCTTCAAGTAACGCCAGTAGCCCGTCCTCAGTAGAAATTGTAGCCAATCTACAACAGCCACTGCATGTCCCCCCCATGCAGGAGGGCCTGCAAGGGGGGTAGTGATTACGAATTACGCAAAATTTTCGCCGCCTATTACGAATTACGTTAAAGTCTCAGAGCTGATTACGACTTTACGATTTGCGGCTAATGTCCAATTACGAATTACGTTGATTTTTGCGGAGGCTGCCTACGAATTACGAAGTCTAAAACGGCCTGATTACGCCTTACGAAAAAGGGCTTGCAGGCCCTCATGCAGGGGCTTCACCGAAAAGAGGGCTGCTTGATAGGGACCTCGGTTGATTGTTTTGGCTGTATATTTTGGCTCCCTTTGTCTGTTTTCAAATATTTGCGTCTTGGAGGTTTTGTTTCGTGATAGGGCTAGGTGCCAACAACAACAAATAATGACGGCGAGGAGTGGGGATCCAGGCGTCATTGCTTACACTAGAGGAAGTACGCATACGCTCTGTTGAAAGTGTTGTTTATTCAGGTCTCCAGTTTCTCGGTGTATTTTGTATGTGCTCACATAAGCACGTCATCTGACCGTTCCACAGTCAATACCATTTACAACTGAAGGGCTACTACCTGATACGCCGAGGGCAAATCTTAGAGACATTGGAATTTAAAAAGCCTACACTTTGGTACAAGATTAGTCGACGGTTTTCTATTTCATTTGTCTTCTCTGTCTCTCTCTCCGTCTCTCTCTCTCTCTGTCTCTCTCTCTCTCGGTCTCTCTGTCTCTCCTTCTTCCTCTCTCTCTGTCTGTCTTTCTCTGTCGACTTACAAAAAGCTCAGGCATGTGATTACAAAAGGAATGGGAAAAACGGAAATTTGGTATACGTTTAAAATTCTGGTGGGATTAACACCCAGACTGCTTCGATCGCCTGAATGCGGTTGGCACTTGAGCCTGTGTGAACCTGTCAGCAGATCCAGGGGTGCACTTTTGTCGGCGGCCCAAAATACGCACAGGCACACCGCTGGGTTTGTGAGGAAAGGTCGGGCGACCTCCACATTTTTACACTGCGTCCAAACAGATGTGCAAGCCAAATTCTGGAAAGATGCGTGACTGGCGCCTTTTAATTTTATCACTGCAGAAGAACAACATCATAATTGTTATCATCGTTATTGTTATCGTTATCTTGTGTTCAATCGGATTATTCATGCTTAGTCTTTATTAGAGCAAGGAGGTTAAAAATCCTTGGTGTTGAGCCTCCTGAAGTCTCTTCTCGACCAGACAAGAAGAACGCAGACAAAAACACTAAGATTAGTAAGAAGGTACTACAGACTAGCAATATCGTACACTAGTCTAGAAAATCTATTTATATTCAGAGAATCCGATTTCCCTGAGGTTTATCTTTATTACTCATAACTCCGCAGACAATTAGAAACACTCGGCAGTCTGTACACACGAAACGGCAGTATGACATGTTTACCGTATTGGCGGTTGTCATGAAGTGACGTGTTCGCTTTTGTCCTTGCTAAAATGTCGGAGGTTAATGAAAAAGATATAAAACGGAAAGCATTCATGTCATTATGAAACATTGACGAAACAAAAGGAGTGAGGAAGGACATTAATCTAACGTTACAGAACCCATTTATCAGTGTGCTTGGAGTCGTGCCATTCAAACCATGTGAGTAACGTACTTTGCGAAAATATCTTGACTACTGAAACAAGACACTACTTGCTCACGGACATAAGTCATTGTCAATCTACAAAACTAACCATAAGAAAACCATCCTCGGTTCTTGTTTTCCAAAGTGTATAGCTTGGCTAATTACCAAAACAAAGAATTAAAACAGAATTTAGATCCAAACACTGGGGGTACATTTGTAACCTTATACACAACAAAATGACGATAATATTTAACGACAATAATTTGATAGCTTTGACACAAATCGACCTCTACATGGTTAGTACCTTTTACTATTTCCTGAAGATAAATGCAAACAACGTTTTCCGGTGTTTTCGTTCATGGCTCGCGGCCTGGCCCGCGGCCATGTTTGGAAGCGAAGTGTTGCCCCGCGGTTGCATCATCGCGCCTATAGCACATGTCAGTGGACACCCCCGACACACCCCCGGCTAGGGGTGAAAATCTGAATCAATGAAACTGCACTCTACAACACGACTGGGCACCGTCCAATGTGAACCCAACAAAGTTTTCTAGACCTAGACTTCTTGAAGTTCTAACTGACCGATAAAACTTGCCACACAGTACTACAGGGGCATTTTTAGCGGGAACAATGCCGGAAAAGCGCGCGTAATTCACGTGTAGCCCGCCGGGGAAATACGATAGGGGTCAACAGAATCGTCCATTTTTCTAAAGGGGGAAATATAATGTAGAATCAAACATCCAATATTCGAGTAACTATTTTGTACTTAAGTCTTTACAATATTTAATATAGCTCAATATATCCCACGGTATTTTGAAAGTATGGGTAATTTGAATTTTCTGTGCTTTATCTTAAGTTTAATATCATGGACCAACCCATAAATGGTACAGTCCTCAAAATATAGATGATTCGTGTGCAGTGACCCAGCACGGCATTGTACTAGGTTTCCCGCGCACTTCGTGTGTGCATTACCAACACAAAACAGTTCCACCTTGTTTTGGCGGGAGACTCGCAGGTTTGCCACAACTCCGTCAGCAACAGGCTGCAGTATTCTCCGTGGTCTGTGGGAGAAATTCTAGAGTTGGAAGATGGGTAGCGACTTGGAAGACTCGCCAGCTTCGGCAGACGGACCCAGGGCAGTCCGGGAGGGCTCGGTGGCTCTCAAGAGGAAGGTTACTCTGATAAACGCTATCGGACTCATTGTCGGGAACATCATCGGCTCGGGGATCTTCATATCACCGAAGGGTGTGCTGCAAGACGCCGGTAACGTCGGGGTAGCTCTGATCATCTGGGCGATCAGCGGCGTGATCTCGGCGATCGGGGCGCTGTGTTACGCCGACCTCGGCACGGCCATCCCCCGCTCGGGCGGAGACTACTCCTACATCCTCGACATCTTCGGGCCCCTGCCCGCCTTCCTCAGGCTGTGGGTCGAGCTGATCATCGTCAGGCCGTGTACACACGCCGTCATCGCCCTAACCTTCGCCTTCTACATCCTGTACCCAGTCTACACGCCATGTACACCGCCGGACTCAGCAGTCGCCCTGCTGGCTGCTCTCTGTATCTGTAAGTAGGTCTCTTGTTGTTGTTCTACCTCGAGCTCCATGGTTCTACTAACTTGTCACGGTTCTGTTCAACGTACACAATCATGTGTACAGTACTGGTGAGATGTAACTTCAATATTGAATCATAGGCATTTATGATTAATGTAGGGCGTGATTATGCCGGAAGAAATAAGGGAGGGCTCCCACTCGTCCCAGTCCTATCTCCTGGGTCATGGCGTCGGACGATTTGATAGACTACTTTCAACATAATTAGTGTTTTTATGAATACTCATGAATAAACGCAAATAAAAATCTATCACTCGGTGGTGCTATTCATCACACAACATTCCCATCTTCCAGGATTCTCACATTCTTTCTTTCGAGGGAATTTAGGGAAAAAACAGTAGCATTGTGTGTTCAGCCATCCCCGTACATATATGTAGGCATGTTAGGTTTGTACATACGAGCCGGGGTCACCATGTGCATTCCAGCGTGTCGGCGTGTTCAGATGGGCCGCGGAGTGAACCAATCTCGGCCGCGCCACGTGTGTGTCGTTATCGCAGCTGCTTGGCTTCGTCCTGCTACTATAATAGTGTACGAGTTATTATCGGGAACCTCAGCTTGGTCTTGGCATCCGGTAGCGTGAACGAAAACAAAGTAAATATACATAGACACAGTGAAGATGGCACGGAAAAACAGGCGTCGTCAGATACATGTAAAACATACAATCTACCAACGTTTAAGTACATTTTATTACAAACGGAAGAACACCTAAGCCTACAAGATCATGTATCACATAGGTTGTCATTGAATACACCCGGCGTAAGCTAGGTTGGAAATTCTAGTATCAATTTTAGTATCTAGATCCAGTGTCAATATGATAGGGACTGTCCACAATTCACAAAATAAGTATACAGAGGTTAGGAGATTATGTTACCACAGTACTACTGTAGATATTGCGACATAACACTCTCATCCTACTGACGATTCTCAAGAGAATTCTGCCTGTTTTGTAGAACAAATGGATTTTTTTTGTGTTCGGGGTTTATGCAAATGTCTGTGAGAACAGTCCTAATTACATGAAGTATGTAAGACGAGACCAGGACAAGTGCCGGGGACTGTTTCATCGATCACGTTTCTCGTGTGTCGCCGTTTAGCGTGTCACAATGGCACGCAATGTATGCATAAAGATGCGATGTAGAAAATGTCCCTATCATATATCAAACGCAAAGAAAACTTAAAATTTTACAATTTTCTCAGCGATTACTATTACAAATAATCGGCAACACCTCATCGTCCGCAAAAAACCGCTAGCGCTGTCAAAAGTTACTCAACGTACGATCAATGTTAGATCAGGTCAACAAACTCAAATATTTGCGCGCAAACTGCCGGCCGGCCGTCTGTCTAAAGACCATGAAACAAATCCGCCGCTACTGGACAAAACCTACCATCCACTTATCATCTTAAGAGGTTTCCAAACACATTACGAAGGGATGAGATGCCTTACAGTATAGTCAAGAAAAAAGTCCCTCAGGCCATTGTGGGTAGACAATGTTTCCCGCTGAGTGTGTGACTGACTCACTCTTGGCTCTTTCTACCACGGGAAACTGTTTGTCTGTAGTATCAGCAGTAGCGCATGTAATCGTTGTCAAATGACATTTGAATGATATCATAGTGACAAAGTCCGTTCCGTACGTGGTCTAGACTGCGTGATCTTGGCGTGATACTCTTTAGAGCACTGACATTTGGCAATGGAAACAATATAGGTAAAAGGGCACTTTATCATATGTAGTAAGATCATGGAGGTCTCTTTTTTCTACCTCCATGGTAAGATGTAGACCAGGTGTGCGCAAATTAAAGAATCGTCGGTAACCGACCTGTAATTATGCCGGCAGTTGGTAGAAATGATTAATTTCGTATCTACACATTTTAGAGATTTCTGAAGACAACTTATGATTAGTAGGTCAAATACCAGCATGTGCTATACAGGTCAGTCATTGATCCCTGTTCCTTCCTGTCCCACCCTTGCCTTGAGGCGGTATTCTATAAGCAAACAAACAAACAAACAAACAAACAAACAAATAAACAAAAAGGAACGCATGAACAAACAAAAACACAGCACATTTCAAGCTCTTTAGAATTATGTTTTTTCGCAATGTCATCTTTCAATTTCCAAAACGACTGCAAGCAGTCTTCGTGGTTTTGTGTTGATGATGCGAGTCGAATCGCTTGACGAGTATTTTGTTTGTGTGGTAGACCATGCAACTAGTATGTTCTGCTCCCTCAGAAAAATGTAGCGATTGGACTGGTGCCAAATTTCTTGTTTTCACGAAATTCAACCCCCTTTGTTGGGTTCATCCAGTACCTGCTTATCCATGTGTACTTAATCCTGAAATTTTGGCGGGAACTTTGTTGTAGTGTTATGATAAGGAGTCTTTTTCTTTTAGCCCAGTAATTACGTTCTTACACCTCCTTCACATATGCACACGCCCTAATGAGTTTTTTATGTATCATTATTGTACAGAAGTACAGTAGGTGTGGTCAGTCGTTTTTGGTGAGTTAGATCTTGATTAGAACCGCTGGCCATCATACTTCTTAATGAAGAGAGGAAATTAATCATAACCTATCAGTTGTGAGTATGAATCGCAAAGAAAAGTGTCTGCACTTCCAGTCCAAGGAGAGAGAACGTGCACAAATATTATATTAACTTTTTTTTCGATGACAGAAACGTCGACAGGAAAGAGGTTGTGCACAACACAAGAATGGCCTAACTGCACATATCCATTTTGTATTTAAACTTTTGCTCCATGGCTCGGACTAACAGAGACAGTAGGCAGAAGCTATACGGATCAAAGAAAACCCGATCACCTTGTTTACCTGGAGAGAATGATTATGTAATATCCATCAATTTTACCTGGGCTACATGTCATTATGTACCGTGGGAAACTCAGTCACGCCCTTATGAATACATGTAGACAACACGGTGATATTACTGGATTCGGTACGAAATGAAGACATGAGATTGTAATTCGAAGAAGGAAAGAATCAAGAAAGAGAGAGTGAAAATGATCAGATATATGTATGTCGGTCTGTGTAAAATAAAAAGGATATTAGCTCACAGCCTCACAAAAATATAAAGTAGCTCACAAAAAATAAGATTGCAGAAGAAAATATAATAACTGGAAAACCCTTTACATTGTTGAACTAACCTCTTGTGAAAGCAGCAGATGTCAGATGCCAACATGCTAGAGACAGGATTGAAAGCTCATTAGCGAGGATTGAATGTACATGTACAAACACACAGTGTACTGGGCATGTGGGATGGCGTATAAATCAGCCGGAGTGACTGGTACATGACAGCCGCTTGACATGGGCAGTGGGCACGGTAACAGACACGTCTTTTTACGGAGAAACCTCCGGGACTGGCCGTATGTAGTGCTTGCCTGAAAATGTTTACCAGATGAGATGGAATGCATCGTGTAAAGTATGCTTTTGAAACACCCATATTTATGACAATTTTGAGAGAAAGTTGAGACAGAATACAGAAAACAGTGGATAGATATCATGTCTTCGAAACTTTTCTTACTGAGATTCGCACTTTTACTAGTGCTAGCACCAGCTAACGCTTCCCAGTAGCACAATAATGGGAGTTTGTGGCATGTGTCTGCCCTTTCTGACCCTCCCCCCTGGCTGGATGGTGTTCGTTTGGTGAACCTGGAATCTGTTCTTCATCTACACATGCCCTCGAGACACCTTACCCGCTGACTAAGTTCAACACACAGACACGTACAAAATGCTAGCATCCCATATGTAGCAAACGTACACTGCGGGTAACGCAATTCTAATCCGAAACATTCAGTAGTCATACACGTCTTCTTACAATTGAATTACAGCTGTTTTGAACCATTTCAAAAGAATCCTGACCAAACCACCTGCTCGACATTTTCCCACTCGGGGATTACAATGTGTGGTCACAAGTACAAAGGGGAACAACTGCAGAAGTCCATCGCCGCGGGGTAAATTCTTTCACATCGCTGAGCTTATAGTCTTTGTGCACCCTGAAAACAAACTAATGAAACCCTTGGTGTTTAGAGCGATGTGTGTGTCAAATTGGTCTGCTATAGGTCTTAACATTGCGTCACTGGAAGAGGTAGGCGCCACTGCAAATGATTTCAGACGTTTCCCCTTGCGTGTTTACATTTTTGAACAACGAGATTTGTGAGACGTTCCCAGGGAATTCAGAGATTTATGGTTGAAATGTTGTTTTGGAACCGACTGACGTGACAAGCATGACACACAAGGGCTCCTCCAACAATGTAACAGAACTTTCTTCTTTTGTTACGAATTTGTCAAAGTATACTAGCATACTTCGTTACAGTCACCCCATCACAACGCGTAATCCAACGTATATAAGCTATTGCAAGTCCACAAAATCTACTTACTACACTAAGAAGTGTTATGTGAGTTATTCTTATGTTTTAGCTTGGTGCAAACCTGTTGTGTGTTCTCAGTAGCCGTATCTCATGTCAAGAGTAGGTTCTCAGCGATTTAGGTTAAGCTTGTCGTAAACCACAAAACGTTCCACAACGAAAAATAAAATATTGGATTTCGGAGGAATGGAACCAGAGAAGATACTGTGAAAAAGTATAAAAAGATGATGGTCTCAAGATTAAGAGTAAAACGCAGGCCAGTGAAATCAACCTTTCCAAATAAGAATGGACAGATTACGCCACGCCCCTCTTCCGCGCCGCGCCGTGTTGGCTTCTGCCCAGGGCCTAGTGTCTGTTTTGTCGGCGATGTCGAAGTTAACGTGGTCGTCTGTAAACTGGTGCAGGAGTTTTGGCACGCCCAAAACCAAACAGAATCGAGGATGAACAAATATATGCCAAACTTCAAGCCCCGAGCCCTGAACCAGATTTTGTAACAGTACAAAATGTAACCGTTGTGATGAATTGTTGTTACTTAGTTCGTTGCTAATGTCAGATGTTGATAAGCGATTTACGTCCTTCATTCATCAAAGTTAGACCTAAAAGTGCCCGGTGCCCAGCTAATTATGATTGATGTATGGATCATATCAGTTCAGTAGAAGCTGTCATGTGAAAAACTCGGCGTTTTTTTGTGTACAATCCGTTTTTTCCTTCGAATTGTCCTGTAAACCTGCCCGTTTTAGTACGGTTGGTTTCTGTGTAAAGTCCACTTTGTGAGTTCATATGTGGTATGTGGGTCAACAACTCGTTTATTGACCTGTAAAATCTCAGCAGAAGTACGAGTACCCTTTTCATAAAGGGTGCAGGGTGTTTTAACTGTTAGTTTACACAAAAAATGCTAGATGGCGCTGCACTACTTACAAGTACCTGCGGCGAATTATCCGTACCAATCACAATGTAACCATTCTGACGCATCCAGTCACATTATACGTCTATGATAACAGAAGTAGCAGCTTAAGATTGACCGATTGATTTTGAAAATCATAAAATGAGGAAATTATTTATGTCATGATCGGCGCACTGAAGACCACGGAGACAGCAAATATCAACGTTGTCTGGCCATAGTTGTAAATAGCAGACTGAACTATTTTGGTCCCATAGCACGACAAGAATCACGATTTATTGTGTAAAGTGTGTGCTCTTGATGGAACCTCTCCTTCCCAGAGAATGTGACATTGACATTGGCCGTGCCGGATGTTTTACTGATGTTGAGGTATTATTTTCCCTCCGATGTGCAGGTCTCCTGACGTTTGTGAACTGTGCAAGTGTGCGCAGTGCAACCCGGGTACAGGATCTCTTCACGGCCGCCAAACTCCTGGCACTCGCCATCATCATCATCTTCGGCATGATCCAACTCGGCAAAGGTACGTCAGAGAAAAAAACAAAGACGAGAGCAATAAGTTCTTGGATTCCTTTGAACTGTGTGGAACTGACCTGTTAGTCGATCTCTGCCTGGCCCTATAGTCTCAACCGACAGGTAGAAATCTGACATCTGAAAGTTATGCCAAACTTCTCTGTAGTAACATTTCCACCCATTCATTTTTCGATGGAAACTAGCGGGTCAATTTTAACACCACCTAGCGTTAGAAAAGATTAATGCAGTTTTTACTCATTCCAGAAAATTAGAATGTATCTGGGTCGATTTAGTCGGAGTGAAAACACGAGCAACATCCTTCAGTGTAGCCACAAATCGTCCAGAACACAACTTTAACTCGATCAGCCGACGCTAACATGTTTACCGATGTCACTGTGCCGGTGACCCCGTCAAGTGTTAACCGGTCCGCCGTTTGTCACGTCGTGGGGCGTCCCGAAAACTGGTAGCACCACTCACCGCTCTTAAACCTCATAATAATTTACTCCAAGGAAAACTCCCCCAAACACATTAGTATATGTAATGGTTACGGCGTCTTGGGTTGGAAACAAATTGATACAGTCACAAATTGATAGTCACTAAAACATATATACAAAAATTCAAGTGAACAACCAATTCAACAAGCACACACACAAGCACACACACACACACACACACACACACACACACACACACACACACACACACACACACACACACACACACAAACAAACAAACAAACAAACAGACGGACACACACACACAAACAAACAAACAGACGGTCTACTACAGACAGCCTACTACAGACAGCCGTAGTAAAACTTTTTGTGGTGTTGTTTGATCTCTACAGGAGAAGTTCTACACCTGTCCCCAGACCTGGCCTGGCGGGGGGCGACTAATGTGGGCGGGATCTCCCTGGCGCTGTACTCAGGACTCTGGGCTTTCGCTGGATGGTAGGCTTCATGAATAAATATTACCCATTGCTTTCAGCTAACAGCAATTCTTCAGTATCTGAAAAAACAACTACGTGGAAAAATAGTTATATACATAATAAATAGTTGATATTTTATCGGTTGCAAGTAGCTATACAGTATGTAGTTTGCTGAGTGTGTGTTGGATTTGTTAAAATACTATTCGAACGTACATTTTTACTTGTAGTCCTTTTATAATGTCAGTAGTATCACGGAAAGAGGCTGATGTCAGTGATGAATACTACTTCAAGAGATAGTAATTTCTCGATGTCTTTCTCCAGGGCTGACCTGACCTTCGTGACCGAGGAAATCAGGGATCCTTCAAGGTAAAGACCGTGTACGATAGTCAAACGTTATATTATACCCAGCACGTAGAAAGGTTGTCCATCTGATAGCTCATATGAACTCTAAACTTGTGACGATTTCCACCTACTAGCAAGCCAAAAAAAACGGGTTCACTGCCCTATTTTATTAAAATGTTAATATAACACTCTCTGTGATAGTTCAGTTCAGCTTTGTAATAGATGGTTTATAAAGTGATGAACTGATGTAGAAATCACAACGAAAACACCGAATTCGATGCAGTCAAATAATCCTAGTTCATCCACTGTTATGATGCTTAACGTAAAAGAAAATGTTGAAGAGAAGTGTTTCGAATTCGTCCCCACAGAAACGTCCCCAGGTCCATCGTGATCTCCATGACGATCGTGACTATCGTGTACCTGCTGGCTAACGTGGCGTACTTCACCGGGATGACCCCTCAGGAGATGCTGGGCAGTGACGCCGTGGCAGTGGTCAGTCCTGGGCATTTCATACGCTGTGAAAAAGACTAAGATTGAAAGAGATTAGGAAGGGAAAGGGTATGGGGTGCATGGAAACGGCAAATCAAGAGTTATAAAAGGATACGTGCTAACGAATATCCGACAGATCTATAGCCAGGTTACCAAACATATTTTAGCTGTGGAGAGGACGAAAGAGACTAGGGTTGGTAACCTGGCCAATAGATCCAGATAAGCGCACATATGGGAGGCAGAATCCTGTAAAGGTCTTAGTACTACGTATACTCCTCATGACTAAGAATGGGAGAAAACATTGTGTTGACTGTTGCTATCTCCGGTTGTTGCAGACATTTGGCCTGAGGCTGCTGGGTGCTGCCTGGTGGATCATCCCCATCTTCGTGGCCTTCTCCACATTCGGCGCCGTCAACGGGTCCATGTTCGCGTCCGCTAGGTATGTACATCACACTGCCACGGTGTTTCTTAACAGCGGTTCACTGAATAAATACTGTGAACTACAAGATAAGCAACGTAATTGAGAACAGCATCGTTTATTGAAGTGTCTTTTGGGAGACGTACGAATGTGAGGTATGTTCGCACCAGGTCTTACCTCCCACTGAGCCAGACACATATCTGCTATCATCATCTTTCAACTAAACTGTGGTTGGCGTGTGGCGAAAAGTGCAGAAGTGGTGAAAAATTACAGAGATGCACATGGAGAAGACATGCCCCATGTGGGGTATTAATGTACCACTGGGAGCACGATCTCATCCCTGTTGTGCAAACTTTATGTCTGGAGATGTCTTCTGGACTTAGTGCGTAAGAAAACCAGAAGCGAAGCAACCGTTAAATGACCTTTCAATTAGCCTGAGTCCTAGCCTGACATTTTTCTGAACCTGTCCATGAGAGGTGAATGCTGGGTTGGACGTTACGTTACCAGACTCTTATGTGCATATGGTTATTACAGATTTCTACGTCGACTTTTGTTCTTAGAAATTAATTCAAGAAATTTGCACTGAATTGAAAGATGAAAAATCAAAACAATTTGATGATTTGTATTCTTCGAGGGCCGCTCAGAAAAGGAAACTAACAAGAGTTGAGTGAAACAGATGCCAAAGTGGTACAGCAGCTTGTATATCGGTATGTTGTCACCGTTGGTTCGACAAATGATGATGAACTTTTGATGAACTCAGACCTGATGTGACCAGCACCTCGTGTGAACTGCCGTCCGTGCCGGGAAGACCCCGGACTTTTCCTGCCAGCCGTCCTTCTCATCTCCCACCGCTCCACAGACCGCTTTCCGTGCCGATCTTCCACGTTTCCCCTCAATTCACTTCGGCAGATTTTATCATTAAACTGTCCCTTCCTGTGATTGTAATCAGGTCCGGTCAAAAGATGACCACCAGACCATCTGTTTGGTCAGCTTTTCCGCTTGGCGACCGGTCAGCTAACCTGCTGCCCTACGGCCATCCTGTCGTTTGACCCCCATTTCACTTTTCGCCACAAGATAGCTGTTCTTTTCTTTATTAATCAACTGGACGTATCTTCTAGCATATGGCTTGCGATTTTGTTAAGAGAAAGATACACTTGATCTTTTTTTTTAAAGTTCTATAGAACATATGAGGCAAAATTCACAACGAAAGTTAAAAATCTTACCAAAGGTGGGACATCAGGTGGTTAGAGAAATACACGAGTACCATCATTAGACAACATTTATATGCTAGGTTTACGAATGCCTTGGGGAAGTCATCATAGTAGGGCTATTTATCTACTCTCAAGTATTAATTAAATTGCAGTTAAAATTTTCCCCTGTCACTAAAATACGATGTTTGTCTATATCTTGTTTTTCTTCTCCAGGTTGTATTTTGTGGGTGCACGTGAAGGCCATCTACCTGACATCCTGGCTATGGTCAATGTCCACCGGTACACTCCCGTACCGTCCCTCATCCTGGGGGTAAGAACACACTTTTAGTTTACTTCCACTACCCTCCTCTTTACGTGTACAGGCCCACGCTTCAATGTTCTGTTATACTCTTCTGTTCTGTTGTAGTTGGTGTATGCTTATTAAATCTGAATGCATGCTGTATTAAAGGTATGGCAATTAAATGAATGAAGGGCGTAAGAAGTAAATGTTTTATCCAATTTTTTTAGTTTTCGTTTGCTTGCATTTCCCTATTCAAAAATGTTTCAAACCCATAAGATCATGTAGTTACTATCATATCATAGTTCACAAATTATGCCTAATTCGTGAGCCAGTCATCCAACAGTAGTGACAATATTCCTGTCAGATTGGTGAAATTTATGGGTTTTTTTTTCAGGGAATCCTGTCCCTGATCATGCTGTGTACGACAGACGTGTACGTCCTCATCAACTACGCCAGCTTCGTGTACTGGATCTTCATCGGTATGGCCATCCTGGGCCTGGTGGTCATCCACTTCAAGTACCCCAGCATGGAGAGACCGGTCAAGGTCAGCTTCTATCTCCCTGTAACCTACTTGACCACATAACTACCTTTTCACATGCAAACATAACATTAGACTTAATATGGATGGTAAAGACTTGATGATTTACGGGCAAGATAACGATTTGTGAAGATGATTGCGTACCAGGCTAGGGTACAAGGTTCCTGTTCGTTTGTAAGATCTGAGATCATTTCTGTGAAGCACAAAATATATAGCCTTGGTACTATCCGGATTTTGCTTCGACGCGGAGCGAAATCCGGATGGCAACCAGGCTCCGAAATGTATGTTTTGATTTGAACATGATTACTGTAAAATGGACATTTTAACTCCAAATCCTCATTGTCTATGTCTTGTTGTTAACGGCTTTCAATGCGTGGACATGTTTCGTGAACAGAATGTTGAACTGTATTTGTTTCTTTTTCACCAGATGCCAGTCGTCCTCCCCATCATATTTGTCCTGGCATGTCTCTTCATCGTGGTTGTTTCCATCTGGGTGGCGCCTATCGAGTGTCTGGCGGGAGCCGGCATCACCCTGACCGGCGTACCTGTGTACTTCTTCGGCGTCTACTGGCAAAACAAACCCAAGTGGCTGACCGACAAATTCGGTAAGTCAGTATGATGAAATTATGATAATACCTCATGCAATACTGGTTTAACTACTAGTACTTCTCTGCTTAGAAAAAGATAAACAAAATCTGTTGTCTCGACTTGATCATTATTCTTCAGATCATTTTACTCAAAGAAAAAGTATTTACGTTCTATATTTGTCCCATTTCCAGATGCCTGCACAGTATTCTGTCAGAAGATCATGACATGTTGTAAGGAGGAACACCAGAAAGAGTGAGGACATCGCACTACACAGGACTCTTCCTCGGGTCTCTCCAATAATGATACATGTGAACATATCTAGTTATCTAACTGTGAGCCGATATGAGAAGATCAAGAGGGCTTCCTCCCTCCCTAATGTTTGAAATGAAATAACCCTAACGGCACCAGAAATTTCAGACGCTTACTACTCATTGACCACTTTAGAGGGAAACACTCATTTTTCCGAACCATTGAGCAACGTTTAATCTGTAAAAGTGCAACGGATTATCCATATTAATTTTTAACAATGGACTTTGACAGAAAAACTGTTCGCTATTGGGCAAGTTTCTGACATGCTTTAGTGCCTGATGTGCAAAGAAATGATGTTTACTCTGTGACCAAAGAATGGAACGTCTTGTTGTTCAGTTCGCTTTAATAGTGAGATGTTAACACAAAAGGACAGTGCTCATGTGAGGTTGAACGGACAACCTAATCTATTATAACAAAAATTTTGCTGTATAAAAACAAATTAGATGATCAGCACTCACGCATTTTTCAGAGGCACTACTATTGACACAAACGTAGCACTGTCCTGTTGTGTCGACTCTAACATCAGATATTTGTATACACACCATTACTGCGCACATATTGTGTTGAAAAGTCTGCTGTTATTTTTTTTATTGTACGCGTGAGTGTGTTTTAGCCAGCAATTATTGTCCTATATTTGTAAATATTGCATTATGAGTGGTGTGGATCTGTCCTACATGAATTAACCACTGGATATGGTTGATATTGTAATCCTGATATGTTGCAAAGGTTGGTAGTTGCTGTACTGCAAAGCTAAGCACAAACTTATGTTATTTCATGTAAATGTTTTTGGCAAGTATACTTAACGTTTTATTTGGTGTATCATATGCGCTCTGGGTACCACGTATGTATCTTTCTCTACTATTTCGCGACGGACTCAGAGCAATGCTGTGTATTTCGATTTGTACTTATTTCTTTTTGCAAATGCATATATGTCCTTCTATTTTATGCCCTTATTTTGAAGGTACTTACTGCAAGTTGTATTTTTTTTAGGTCTGGTTGGTTTTTGACAGAAGCTAAGAAAATCATGACAAGGAATTCATTGTTTTGTCAGTAGATTTGTGCCAAAAGTTGTTTTTATTTTGGGATGTTTTAAACATTATGTATCGTACTCCTTGCTTGAGCCAGTAGATGGAGATAGAGGTGGTATCTGTAGATAGATACAGAGAAGACGTTTTCAGATCGTCTGTGATGTGAATAAGAAGTCGGGAAGATATATGTGCGAAAAAAACTGAATGGAATTTTGCTGTCGTTTCCAGCCGTCTTCCCTTCTGCTGAAATAGTTATAATGGAATAGGTATTAAATCCTTGTGCTTAATAAGCATTTCTCACCTACTGATATCTCAAACAGCCGATATGTACCACTTGTTGATTGCTACAGCATTTGTTGTCACGCACATGTAGTAGACTGTAGAATTGAGGTGTCCATAATGAATTAATTCTATCATATAAAGAGGGATCGTGGGAGTGTAAGAAGGATACAGGTGAAAATGTCAAATTGAAAGACTCCGGCACTCTGTATATTGTGACTTTACTATACTTGCCGTTTGGTTGTCCATTTTCCTCTTCAAACGTCCAACAATATCTTCATTGAATTGATATGTGGCCTAAACAAGAAACTGTAACAAATTTGCATTGCTGTTCATGAATTTGAATGATAGCATCAGACTTGGTATATGTTAAACTGTTAACGAATTTCTCGGTGCTTTCTCAGGGACCACCCTTTGATGGTGGACATCTTTCTCACGTAGATTAGTCATAGCCTCAGATCCAGGCTTCTTCAGTTTTGTTCGGTTAGAGATAGAGGACGTATGCCGAAGAAGGCTGGATCTCAGGCTAGGTAAGTAGTACTTCATGTGCCACGAGGTTCCTTTCATTTTTGTACTTCAGCTTGGATACCAAATAAACTATACGATCTCAGCAATGCTTCCCAGCGCTGTCATTTTGTGTACCCACAGAGGTACAAATACAGACGTTATTCTAGACAGACACAGTGTTATGATTACTGTATTTCAGCCAATCAAAATATATGGCACTATCATGGTGACCTTCGATAATCGGTGCATATAAGTGCAGCATATTAAACGGATTGGAATAAATAGATAGATGAAAATGCAAGCACTAGTAAATCAGAGTCTATGATTGTAATTCAAGTAAATATTAGGTTAGCCATAGCAAGGGCTTAAAAATCTAGACTTAAAAATTTAGCCATGGCTTAGTAAGGAACTTAACAATCTAGCATGTACAATTAATGGTATGTACAAGTCCCTTCCAGTTCCAAAATATCCAGCTTCATATGCAGGCATTTCAATTAGAATTCTACAGGGCTGTGAGCAGTTAGACATTGTAACGTTACATATCAACAGCTCCGTATTGAAAAAAAGTTGACTCTTAAGTACAATGTAACACACAAAGATGACTGTCATTACAAAGCAGTTTGCAAAGACATTATTTCTGGCTAATATTTACCAGCTGTTTGCTTTTGAACAACAAAAGAAGCCATTAGATTAAAGTCACAGTAACAGACGGCTATGCTGATTTTGGGCCATTTGTACCCTTGTGTTTTCAGCTACCATAACAAGTTTACATCGGCGACCTTATTCATTACCTTCGTGGCGTCACATATAATTACACAGATATTCCAATCGTAGATGACGGGATCAACCTGATCTCAGGGGCTGATTAGCTTGAAAACGGCCGGAGTTCGGTTTCTAACGCACGGAGCTTTTCAGCGAGGCAACGTAATATCTTTAGCTGTGGTTGTGAACTTGTGACCATGGGTACATAAGCGGGGATGAATATACTAGTATGATTTATGAAAAAATCTGTGGAATATCGTCCGAAACGCCGCGGGGGGTATCAGCTGTCGCCCCGGTGATAGATGGCGTCCCTTGGGTCACCAAGGAGAAAAGTTGTCTGTCTGTAGACCATTCTTATCATTAACTTTGATCATGCTATCGGCGATATACTAGTAGTTATCTTGACTTAAGCTTCTAGTAGTGGTGATCTAGAATCTGTCAAGGTCAAATGAGTACCATGGGACCATTTGGCCAGTCGTCCATACATAGCCCAGATTACGTCAAACTGAAGGGCGTATTGTCTGTGTACTCTGGACTATGCCAAGAATGTGTACAGTTGCTTTGGGGAGAAGGGGCGTCACTTCTATTCCGCAACCCCCCACCATAACTAGATTAAATATGATGCAGATGCTATAATTATTAATAACACCATTGTTTTATTCATTGTGATTACATTATATAGGGTTTGGGGATACATGTATATTAGAAATGGGATATATTCATAACTAAAATATAATATATAAACAGCAATCCCCCCTCGAAATATTATCATAGATCATTTCTCTCTACAGCACGCAACTTATAAGACCAGCCCATGGCAATGACGCAAGACTGTAGTGTTATTTCAAGTGAAAGTGGTCGTAAATATCTCTGCGGTTTAGACAAGTTTAATATTCCACCACTTACGTCATCATAAAAGGTGCCGCGTGGGAGTTTTGAAGAACCTTGACAGCTGGGTACACACGTAACGGAAGTTAGTTTTTAAATTAGATATGACGTTCGTTGCGTCAGGTGAGGGCGTGGTCCACGGTCGTACGTAAACGTTCTGGTCCGTATTTAGAACACGTTATCGTAAAGTACGGCGAGGCGTTGTAACAACAGCGCTATTTCAGATAAGAAACGTTGGTTTGACGCGTGGCAGAGGTTTAATGGTTTCCGCTATTACATGCCGTGAAGTACCAGGGCTCAGGTTACCGCTATAAACGTACATGTTGTACATAAGTGCTCTAGACAATGGCAGCAAACCGGACGTACGTAAAACATCCTCTCTGTAATTGCCACTTAGTAGTTTGCGTATACTTTACTTGAAAAAGGATGAAATATAAAAAGTAAATACATTGAACAAACAAAATGTATCAACATAACAAAATGTGTGTTGCGAACGATGTTCAACAAGGATAGAAACATATCTTGCAGAATTTTTGTTTTGTATACTCTTTGATTTTTTTTCTCTGCGTACCAACCCTCATAATTTCATTGGATGCATGGCGGCACGCTAACCTCGATATTTGAAGGCTGTCGTCTTTCTTTTATCTTCGGTCATTGACCCAGGCATCCTGGATCCAGGGTCACGTGGTTATGGGACTGTGTCCAATCTAGTTCAGATGGAGTTTTATTCATTTATATCTATTCATCATCCCTGCAACCATCTATATCTCCCCTGGCGTCAGTTGTCTCTTTATGGGGTGGCCCGGGGAAGGATAGCAGGGGTCAGAATGAAAATAATTTTTTTGTGACGAGAATTTGCCTTTCCAACGTATAACTCCGTATATCTTCCTCATTTTTCTTTATGTACTTTCAGAAAAAAGCACAGAGCACATGGTATAGCATCACGTCTGCTTGGAGAAGATCTACGCGAAACGTGCCTCCAGATGATGCAACACAACTCCAGTATTGGATGATGTCCGGGACATATACATATGAAGTTTACATTTTTGTGGGGATGGCCTGATTTTATTATTACAATATAAAACCTTAAATAGATATAATACAAGACATAAGTGATAAACCTTGTATTATGATATATTAATTGTAGGTACGTATCCAGTGCTGGAATCTAATTACAGATATATGATATGAACGGGGATGCGAAAAAGGAAATGCACCCCCATATTTTGCAAATGGCATGTCCTAATGACCTCTGACATGCAAACTGCCCCAGCGTGAAGCCTGCACTTCAGGGCGCGGGAAGCAGACACAAGAGACGATGGTCCAGCTCGGATAGCACACTCTACACTCTTCTACAGCCACAGAAGGTAAGATATACATCATATATTCATGTATGCACAGGGTACGTAGTCCGAACCTCCAGTAAACTGCTGTGACGGGCCGGCTGAGCAACGTGGCGTGAATACATACTTTGTTTGAGCCGGCCGGCTGAAGGCACATGCCTTGTTTGGATTTCAGCGAGGCCCAGCCTGTCGGTCAGCGGTGGGGGTGTTGGCTGGGCACGTCCCTGAGGCCATATGGAAAACAGCAACAAATTCCAGGCTTTTATTCCAGGATTTCAAGCTACGATTTTTTTTTCAAATATACATATCGTATGCTGAGGGAGAAGTTTTGTAGCCACACACACATACCACATGAGGGAGGCGTTCCACTGTTTTACGTAGAAAATGGTTGGCTTTTCTGGAAAGAGGGACATCGTCCAGAGTCAGAGGGTAAACAAAACAATGGCGGGAATCCCTGCTGGGCAGAAACGCCATGATATTCACTGGTGTCAATTAATAGACTATTGTGTGACCCGCATATAGCCCCTTGCTAGTACTACTAGTATGACTCAAAAATTTTAAGCTTACTAAATGGGCATTCAATTAATGAGGCGCCGGTAAATACAACGGACAATCTGAATTTTGCAATTAGGTATGATGAGATTTGGAACCAAGGGCACACGAATGATTAGATAAATCACTACCAGACCGTGAGGAGTATGTCGTATGTTGCACGAGTACTGTTTGCCCTGGGCGTCCGCCAAAGCCTTTGCAAGTGGCGCGTGGGTTTCCTACCCTGTAATTCAACACAAACCGGTTCAATCCAGATCCTCCCCATGCCGTAGTACGCACGGCAGCGCGGCAAGGTCCTTGAGCGCGGTTATAATTGGTCACGCGGAAACTGGATATTGTGTTCGCGCCACTTTTGGATGCATGGCTGAGAAAGGACAACATGCCCCTGAGCACCCTGATTTTGGCGTAACTTGAGGTTGTTGATATTTAAGCACTGGCACTCATGTCAACAATTTATGTTATTATTTCAGTATGGCTACACGGAACCAAAACAATTGAAACACCGTCAACCTTGTGTTGTCGTTATTGTAACCTTTGATAGGAAGTGTCCAAAGATTCCAAACAATGTTTATTATGAAAAGGCGACGTATTGATGGTCAATTTCAGTGCATTATGCTTTTTCTTAATAACTGATTGTTAATATTTTCTGATTCACGAATATGTATATTTTTCGTTCAATGATCAGTAATGCACAAAATAACCATGTACCAAATTCTGTGGAATTTCCCTAGGGATAGACTTGGATGATAGTAGGTCAATGGGTCTTTTGATATAGAAAGATTGTATCAATTTTTTTGTGTCGTTGCTTTGGAGCTGTTATCCATTTTATCAATGTACGTGACATAATTTGTACCTATGGATACTGTATGAAATCTCCGAGTCCATACAGATGTGGAATAAGGAATATTAAGATATAAGCTTATGATTTTCCCTTTTTTCTTGGATATTTATTATTCATGGGATACTGTGAGCCCTGTCAATATCCGTGAAACATAAATGTACTGAAATTATAAACATGGCGTGGTCCTCAACGTTAGAACTTATAAATAGAAGTACTTCAAGTGTGTATGGAAATCCGAATGTTGCTAATTTTGTACAGGTCGAGAACTGGTAAGGCTTGGAAATTTATGAAAACGTACAGTGTATGATTAGTCGATTGGTCTGTTGTCTGTAATCACTTAAATCAGTGTAACGTCATTTTAATAAGCTGAGTGAAAAGTCCATTGTCTACGTGGTCAGTGTAGTGTACTACAACAGGTCAGTGACCCGTGGAGTGGTCAGTGCGTTTGTGGACACTGTATCAAACTACCGACCTTCGAACCAGGGCCTGCTTCGAACCGTAAGGAAAATACAGCTGTGTTGTTTTAAGAGAAAGACCCCCTGTCCATACTGGACTACTGATGGAGTGAGCCACGCCTCCCGATAGGTCACATAACACCTGGTCTAGATATATACGATGTCTGTCTTCAAATTTAAACGAGCCAAGGTAACTGTGTGCACCTACTCAACGTATATTTTGGTAACTAGACTGTGCTAGGGTTTATTTCTCGAGATAAGTGACTTGTATGTTTTGTGTTATCAATGTGTAGAAAACATTCTTATTACTGTTATCGTAATAAACGCAAAGGGCACAAAAATGCTAACCCAATCCTCTCAGTCTGCATCGTTATCAGCTATGCACGTTGCTATTGCTTCCGTGATTCTGATGGTTTGTGTACTCTGTGAGACCTCACTTTTGACCCACACATATGGTCTGATAGCCAGACAGGTCTACAGTTCATAAGAAGGTTACAACAAGAGACAGGTGGCGCCTTGTGCAAGCACTACAAGTGCCACTCAACGGTACTACTTGTATTGTTGTGGCTTGATTCTTATCGTCCGAGCAAACAGAAAAAAAAATTGTAGTGGCCATTTTGAGAAGAACGATTGTTAGTGCATGAAGATTACGATAGAAGAAGGCAGGCTGCGTACGGGATTTGGTGGAGGTAAGTTGCCGTATTTTGTTGTCTGCAGAATAAACAATGATAAAGGTATGTAGGGGTGGGATAGGTACTGGAGGGGGCGGTGCCAAGAGGTAGAACCACAAAAAATCGGATAGAAAGTGTTTTTCTGGTAGTTCATTTCGAAGGGAAAGAGAATGGGCATTTTACTACCCTTTAAATATATAATTTACAGTAACGTTACATGGATGGAAGAATGTTTTGTTTTGACATGTTCTAATGCTCCAATGCACATTTGAAGTGTAAGTGCCAAATGTCCTAGTTTATCAGTTCCGTTCGGCCGTTCACTAGTAAAAATGTACGTCCACTGTGCGTAAATAGGCATCGGTCAAGCCTTCCCACAGGGTCTACAATCAAATTGTCAGTCTGGGGGCAAACTGAAGCTATCTGCTTATTTGTCGATCTAATACGGGTTTTATTTCACCAGACACGCCGTCGACAGAAGGTATTGGAATTTTAAATTCTGTAGTTTTACTGAGAAACTGTATGCTGACAGCTCTAATGCTATTTTCTACACCATGCGTAGCATGCTAGCAGAATGCCATTTTCCCCTATAGTGTGCTAACCAAATAGGTGCGAAGGCTTTTCTATTGTATCATATGTACATTTTAGTGGGCGTTTCCGACAAGAAAGTGACTGAGTAAGCAAGGCACCAACAGAGGCAATGTAGAGATGTCAGGTTAGGGCTTGTTCATTCGTGCTTTGGATGTGGTAAAGTTTATAGCAAGAAACTTTCATACGCCGCTTCCCGTCACAACGAAATTTGGGTCATCTTGAGAGGACAGATAGGAGCATCCTCATCTAGGTACGTCATTTACGATGTGCTTCGTTGTCAAGACAAATATTTGGCCCAAAAAGCAGACAAAGTCCACCCTTTGGGTCAGTCGTTACGTGTTGTAGCATTGATAGCCAGCGCCGAATATTTACAATAAATTTGAGCCTGTAAAGAATTGCGTAGATGATTACCGTGTTAGTAGAACAATTTTCGTATCCATGCTTGGAAACTAGCCATTTTTACAGAGATCCGTTTTCAAAAGTAACCTTTAGGTCACTGAGCTGCTTGCTTTGTCACTAAGCTACAACTTGAAGCCGCTCCAGACCTTGACCCCAAATTAGAGCGTTGGTCCGCCAAGTTTGGACTGGAATCAAGCAGCACTTTGTACGTAACCTTGGTTGATATGGCATGGCATGTACGAGTGTTTATACACGTACGTAGAGTGGACAGATCCGTCTGAGTACTCCAGACTACACATTTTAACACGTCTGTTTCTGTTAGCTCTCTTTGTTGCCACTTCTTCACGCCCAGTGATCAAGTTTTCACGGCACGCTGCCGATGATGCAATATTTCATCAGTCATGATGCAATCGCGACGGAGGGACTCTTCAGAGCTTCAAGGGTTAGACACGCAGTTTGAAGTGTGGAATTTCCGTGATATTTCGAACATGCCTTTGTTTGCTTAAACTAGATTGTACATCAAATAGAGTAACGTAAATGTAATTTTCAATAACCCTCATGCCGTACGTTAAGGCGAAAAGATGCACCGTTTTAAGTCTAGCCTACATTTCAAGCTGGATGAGGGCAATTCGAAAAAATGTTCAACAGAAAACTACTTTGACAGGACGAGCGAGTTTGATGGGAAGTTATACATCCGCCTGATTTAGATTGATGAGGGACGGACCGCCACCCAAATAAGGGGCGGGAAAGAAGGCATGGGCAAGGCAAACGAGGTCATCCCTAATCTTTTCGATTAGTGTGTTGGGCTCTTCATCATGAGGTTTTACTCTTGAGGCTATCGCAAGACCGAAGCCTCCGCGTCCCCTCTGAATGACGATATGATCGCTGTTGTAACTAACCCCTCACATGTCCCTCTAGGACAGTCCCTCTCATCGTGTTCTATCCTGTATGTCCCCTCGACCTCTACTCTATACATAGTGGTTGCGTGCAAAGGGACTCTTTGTTTGTCACATTGTGTTGTTGTGGGCCTCTATGTGTGTGACATCCTTTTGTGTTCGCTGCTCTTTTTGTGTCCTGTTCTCTGTGTATTGAAAGATTCGTAGTGATTTTGCTGTGTTGGATGTGGGGCCGTTTCTAGGAGTTTGATTGTAATTTTACGGTTACTGAATGAGTGGCGATATGGCGACACTGTAAAAGAGAGTCATTCCAAACCGTTTGTTTTTGATAGTCTGAAATTTAATTTTTACTATGATTTAATTGTCAACCTCTGAGAACCACCGCGATGATATCATTTTAAAGATACAATGTATTACTTTCTTTTTATAACTGAGTTTTATGAACATCTCTCCTAATTATTGTGAGTACAGACTCCGTTTCTCTTCGTTGTGTTCTTTTATTGTAAACACATGGTAGCGTGGTTTGGACATCTATACACACAAACGTCGTAGTTTGCCATAACTCTAAACATCACGGGATCTTTGGGTGAAGCCCGGGGGTCAGCTCAGTGTGAAGAGGTCCCGCCTCTATGCAAACGAAGTCTTAAACAAGTCTGTTTGCGGTGCTATTTTATCTTTGTCTGCTGTCCGTCACGAGTCTGCATGTTTACATTCTGTCACTGGGTATGTGGGTCACGTGCGATCCTCGCGATATAACGCGTTTACATATTCACAAGTCTCACTCAGACAGACCAAGGAACAGCTCACAGATCTCTCGGACAGGAAACTTCGGTTCATTGTTTTCTGTTGCCACAATTTTGCTTTAAGTAACAAGTGTTGTCGACCTGAGTTTGCATATAAATGGATGTATTCATTTTGCCTTAGGGTGGGGAAAACATTATCCTGTAAATACTGCGTCTCTGTCGCTACTAAACCAGTCTTACCACTTGTCTCTGCTCATTCGAACAGGTGGTACCGTAGGCCCCTCCCACACGTACCCCGCTGTGCCGCCGCCCAGGCCGTAAGTTGTTGGACGCTAGTGGTTGGTCATCATTCAGTCAGGACCCACGGTTGACAAACGTACCCGCAGGACAGTCGCGCGACCAACATGGCACCGGACATCCAAGGCAACGGGGCTACGGAGAAGACTCCGTCCATGGAGAACATGGACGTCGGGGACGGAGACGGGGAGGAGACGGTCAAGATGAAGAAGAGGGTGACCCTGATGAACGGAGTCGCCATCATCGTCGGCACGATCATCGGCTCGGGTATCTTCGTGTCGCCGGTCGGCGTGATCGCGAACTGCGGGTCGGTTGGACTGTCGGTGATTGTGTGGGCCATCTGCGGGGTGGTCACCATCATCGGTGCGCTATGCTTCGCCGAGCTCGGCACCTGCATCCCCAAGTCAGGAGGGGACTACATCTACGTCCTGGAGGCGTTCGGCGACGCCTTCGAGGGCTGCGCGGGGCGGTGCTCCACGGCGGGGGCGCAGAAGTTCTGCCGACACATGGGTAAACTGTTGGCCTTCCTCTGCCTGTGGATCAACCTACTCATCATCAGGCCCACCACACAAGCTATCGTGGCGCTCACCTTCGCCAACTACATCGTCAAACCGTTCTTCCCGACCTGCGACGGGCCCGACTCTGCCATCCGACTTCTGGCTGTCCTGTGTCTCGGTAAGTTTGTAGACTTCGAATCCTTATTTACCGTCGTTCTTAAGACCCCCCGTATCGTAATGTAACCTATATTATCGCATTTTTCACGCGTCACATGTTACTGTTTTTATAGAAATCACATGCTGTGATTTTGTGATACGAGGTAACAACTGGCCTACTTCTGGCAACGAAACGCGTACGATTTATGGAGGAGGGGAGAGGTGAAGAGACGTCCTCGCATGTTAAAAACCATGTGACATGGCCGTGACCATTCTGTGTGTAGTGTCGTATTTCGGCATGTTGCGTATTTGGAGTTACGTTCGCAATGTTTAGTGGCCCTGCTTAGTCTAGTCTTGCAATTCGTTCCCTCACAGAAAAAGACGCGATAGTTAGATAAATTTGCATTATTGTGATCGATAAATGCTCTTCAATCCCATAGCTCATTAAGTGCAGGCCCCTATGGCTATGGCCCTAGAAGAGTAGTATGTTGATGTACCTGTCCTACACCTCGTGATAGTCACGAGTTTGGTTATGGTAAAACGGCGCTGTGTTATGCCCTGCGTGAGACCGCCGTATGACAATGTAGGAGACTACTGCCGGGCCTTTCCTCATTGTAGATTGTCTAGAGAGCGTGATGATGGCTGTGTGACACGAAACCTTGCTGACGTTAATATCAGAGATATTATTATACCACATGTATAAACACTAGTAGCCGACAAAAATGATCTATGTTGGACCACAGAACAGTAATGTTAGAAAGCAGACGAAAATGGCGTTTGGACAAAACAAGACAAACGCATACATATTTATATTTATAAATGACCACGAATTCGACACTACAGTATGCACGAGTATGATTATTATACTCAAACCGCCCCATCTAAATCGAGGTCAAAAAGTAACCACTAACAGTCAAATAAAAATAGCAAAAAAATGAAAAAGAGGAGAACCGACGAAATATTCAACCCGATTTTCGACCCCGCCCAGTTTTCAAAATCCTCGGTGTTTGTTTTTACTCTGCACCGGTAGAGGGAATCCCCAAATCCGGCATGAGCCGGCCGGAGATGTTTATCTGCCACTAACCACTCCCGCCACTCCACACCACATATCCTGTCACTGTCGTACATCTGGCGTCCTGCCAGGATATGGACACAGTAGATACCGGTACACGTGGGTTTTTACTAGCAGGAGGGAAGACCTGTCCAAAAATGGTTAGCCTGCGACCCCTGCGTAGCTTGGGGAAAGCCGAGCATAATACAGTATTATTATTAAAGGCCATACAGATGCACTTCAGGTACCATCCAGCTGCGTCTCATCTGCATACCCGGATTATCAATCACACGTATCTCTATTAAACCTCCTAAGGGGATGGATATCAAATTACTGCAGCGGAATCCTTTTAGCTTTCCTTAGATTACCATTTTTATTATCGTTGGGACATCACTAGTGATGTGAATTTTTCAAGAAATGGCTTTACTCGACTAATTGATACATTTTGAAGCGAAATATATAGTTAACCTATGTAATATGACCTACTTATATCACCAATGCATCCGTTTATAATCGAAGAGTGACACAGAAGTGGGAGCTTGAGAGACTTTTCAGTATTCAACGTCGACCTCTTTAGAGTCTAGACGTTCAGACATCATTATGCTCATTTATAAAAACCCTTCAATATTCCATATGGTTCGTACAATGGGCTGGCCACGCCCTGGCCTTGGTGCTAACAAACGCGCTTCTGGCGACACCTATTCGTGACAGTGGGAACTGCAGACGTGGCCGCGATAGTCCTGTGCTGTGTTACCCACGGTACGCAAATTCAATTTTCAATCGTTAAGAGCACATGCAACTTTGTGTAGTTGACATTTGTAATGCGTCTTTTCTGTAGTGACCTTGACGTTCATCAACTGCGCCAGTGTCCGTGCCGCCACACGGGTACAGGACATCTTCACTGTGGCGAAAGTGTTGGCACTCATCCTCATCATCATCTGCGGCTTTGTACAGATAGGCAAAGGTTGGTACAGCATCTTGGCACTGTGCACTCAGAATTATGTTTACCATAAACAAATTAACCGACATTTTATCGTAATTCTCTGTATTTCTGCTTCTGAATTTTATCCCGTTGGCATACTTCGCTCACCATGGCCTAAGTTATTGAAATCTAATCTGTTGGTACGCAGGTGAGGCAGAATACCTGAGGCCGGACAAAGCTTTTGAAGGCACATCAAGTGACGTCGGCGCTATAGCCGTGGGGTTCTACTCCGGACTGTTCGCCTATGGAGGCTGGTGAGTGGGCATGATGCTCTGCTTAGACGTCTGCTATCGTGTATAATTGGAGTTCGAGATATTGTTATTGTATGTCAGTTATTTTAACTTTTCACAACGTTACATTTATCATGTACCATTTTGTCTATTACAGGAACTACCTTAATTTCGTCACAGAAGAGCTACAGAACCCGTTTGTGTAAGTTATTTTCTTCTTTACCTTACGAACAAATTTGCTATTGCTAACTAATGTTGGTATCAGTAGATGAATAAGTGTGAAACTTTTGTCCGAATCAAAAATAGATTTTAAGACGCCAGGTTATCTCTTTTTTTCTTCAGAAATCTTCCAAGGGCCATCATCATTGGCCTGTCGCTGGTCACCACAGTCTATGTTTTGACCAATATCGCGTACTTCACCGTGTTGTCGCCGGTCCAGATGCTGGCTGCCCCCGCCGTAGCCGTCGTGAGTTTCTCTCGTATTCCTGAATCTCAATCATCCCTTTTATCATCTTGCATTTCTATATTTTTATGTTGGCTGTATGTTCTTTTACTAATCGAAATCTCTCAATGTAATAGCTTTCGAGGGTTTTCGTTATTTTGAATTGTTAACCGTTATTTCCCATGAAGACTTTCGGCGACCAGCTCCTCGGTGTGATGTCCTGGATCATTCCTGTGTCCGTGGCCCTGTCCTGCTTCGGAGGGGTCAATGGCTCTCTTTTCACTTCCGGAAGGTCAGTGATCACAGCAACCAATGTAGCATCAATCAGAGGTTAACACGGATATTGTTGTTATAGCTGATGTACATCTGAAACCGTACATCTTTGAGGACGTTTTTCTAGAATGCGTACATCGTCAGATTGTCAGTCATTGCAGCGTTGTTGACGTTTTACAGGTTGTTCTTTGTGGGAGCACGTGAAGGCCATCTCCCCGACGTTATGGCGATGATCCACACGCGGAGCCTGTCTCCAGTGCCGGCTCTTATCTTCACGGTGAGGATACCCATCCATATCTTGTTATTCATTGCCTGCACTCTTGAATCACAAGACAGTAAAAAACCACTATTTTCCGTTGGACTTTTGGTAAAATTTCCGAAGTGGTAATAAAAGATGGCTTTGTTCCCTTTTAGTGCACGTTGTCGGTGATCATGTTGGTATCAGACGACATCTTCGTCCTGATCAACTACGTCAGCTACATCTGGTACCTGTGGTTCGGCATCGCCACTGTCGGCATGATAATGCTGAGGTACCGCAGACCCGACATGCCCAGACCGTACAAGGTAGGCGGACAAGTTGTTACGTACGGCTGTAGAAAATATTGTACTCAATGATGTCAACACGGTGTTTTCAGTTTTGACTGGGCTGTTTGCACAAAGTTCTTTGTTGTTTCACAGAAAATGTTAATCGTATCAATGTTGTCTCCGTAGGTTCCATTGGCCCTCCCAATCATCTTCCTGCTCGTCTGCATCTTCCTGGTGGTCTTCTCATTCGTACAAATCCCGTACGAATGCCTCTTCGGCACCATCATCATGTTATCGGGCATCCCCTTCTACTTTGTCGGGGTTTACTGGGAGGACAAACCGAAGTTCCTGACAAATTTCCTCGGTAAGTTTCTGAAGACGTGTGTCACCATCATGCCTTAGGGTATGATGTAGGTTGTAACACCATAGATGATCATAACACATGTTAACACCACATGTCATCTAACCCATTTGAAAACCTTACCACTAACCCTGTTTTCTTCCAACGTTAACAACATTAATCATCCCCAAAGTATCTCATTTGTTTCAGCTGCCACATCACGTTTGGCTCGTTGAAAATAGATTCTTTGCCTGTGGATGTGAATGTGCAAAGTGTTTTGTACTGAAATGGTAACCATGCTGTTGTCACGCATAGGAGTAAACTCATGCTTGAAGTTAAGTTTAAAATATTGTTATTGCATAGTATCAATACTACCCACTCGGGCTAGGTAAACAAACATGCACGCGGCGCTTTGCCTTACCAATACAACGTTTAGGGTACGCATTTCATATCAAATCACTATTTGTAGTGGTCCTAACATCCAATACTGCTTTTCATGGTCTAACCCCTATCTAATCCTACAAGTTCCATGTAGTTTCACAGAGCATGGATATTGCCCTGCAGTGGATGGAGAGCATGGATGCATTCACAACATGGGTGGTATGCTCAAAGTTTGCTGTGCGTGTGTTCTCCCTTTACCACTGGTATCGCAAGCAAAAGTTACTCACCTTCTATCTACACACGTTTTTCTTGCAGAGTCCTTCACATACTACTGCCAGATGACGCTAAGCGTCGTGCCGCAGCACACCTACGGCTGAGGAAGAACGCCAAGACCGGCACAGAAGAAGCTCAAGTCGCTACAAAATGGCCGATTATTTTTGGGTGACGGTGGTGTTGTGTTGTTCTCAATCTGTGTCCTTTGTGAGAAGTTCGTCGCTTGTAGCTTCCTGTAACTGTTTGTTCTTCTCAGTATCTGCTTGTCTGCTGTGGCGATTGCTTTGAAGCTGGAGGAGATGCACATGTTTTAACCGCATCTCCAGTTGTTGCTTTAATTGTGAATTTTCCTCCTCTCATAAAGATGTAGTGTTCTGTTGGCTGTATCGAGGAGACATTGTTAATGTGTCTCATCTCGTTTCCGCCAAACTGCCAAAGCTTTTATTGCAATAATACTGTATAAACAGTGTCGCTGTTACTTTCGTTATGCACATGTAACTACTCCAGTACGTTCTCTCTTTTCAGACTCTGTTACAAAATACTGCCAGCTCACCCTTAATATAATACCACTGCCCAACTGAGCTGTTCCGAGCACTCTGGCATGACGGCTTCTCTTCATGGTAGAGTTGTCTGCAGCGCCTTTCTTCATCTTAGCGACTTCATGGAGTATTGCACCATAAGTCGCATAACTGCTCTGCCTACTACATACAAGTACCTCGAAGTACCCAGAAAAAAACTCAACAGCAAAACCTAGTCGCTACATAATGTTTGGTAGATAGTGTGTACATGTAGTATCTGATGGATTTACGGTGCTACCTCACTAGGGTATTTATTGGTCATGAAAATTGCTTCAAGAATTCTTTGAAAATATTTGTTCGACAAATCCTAAATGGTGGTATCTGCACGATTTGCTCTACAAAATGCATATTTCCTACACACTTTGAGTAAAGTGAAGTAACTTAAACGCCAAAATGCTATTTTACGTTTTATGAACTTATATCAGATATGACAACACGTATTGTAGTCTAAGCTTTAGCTGTAGCAAACTAGTAGGAAAATTCAAATGTACTTGTTCTTAACTTTTTAGATTTCGATGTGTTCAAGAAACGTTACTTTAAAACGTTTTAAGTAGATGACATGGACTATTTATTTCCTGCATCATCACATTTTATACCCCAAATATTAATGATAGTTGAAGAAATATGACGGGAGTAGTACATTACGTCATTGAATACTATATGGACCAACAAAAATGAATTTGGGAACATTTTGAATTATCGAAGGCCTCTATTTCAAACCTAAAATGTTACCACATGTAAATAATTGCTTTAAAAATCTTCAGAAAGAAGAGTTTGATATGAATTTTTATTCGAGTTTACTTTTAGATATTAGGTATAGCAAGGAAATATTGGGCATCTGGTTGGGCATCACATGGTATTCTGTTGAAAAGGAAAAGCATCCAAAGTTATAGGAATATTATGTCAACTACTTGTGCCGGAATGCTAATGCCTTACTTAAATTGTATAGCTTTAAGTTATGTCTTCCCTATGGATTGCCAACTTGAAACTGATAACGAAAATTTGTGTACGGCTTTTAACTTTTGTTTGTTAGCACCATATAAATGAAATGTGAATATATTGTTATTTCCAAGCAGATGGGTGGTGGTAGATCCGTTTTGGATGTCATAGTTGGGTAGGGTTAAAGAATCTAAGTCATCCGATAAAATATAGACCCCGTAACATCTGGCTATAAAATCGGATATAATCGATTTTGATGACTTGGACAGGATGATACATGTATGTATTTTAAGTCCAAGGGTTTCACGTGATATTCACGTGATATTCACGCGACATCTCAACTGAATCTCGCGTAAATGTACGAGACTCTACTATGCCTGCTTAATGCGTTAACAGTGGCTGGCATTTGACATACTTACTTCTCTACTCGTATTTTCATCGCGTTTTGCCGCTGCGTTTATGATATATTATATATGTGTATAGAAGAACAACAGAAGTTGTGTACACAAGAAAACATTGCCTTGTCAAAGGAAGACTTATGCTGAGGTCACATTTCCAAACCGGGGCCCGGCCGGGCAGTCGTATGGAACGAAAAGTATGATAGTAAAAGACAACAAAGCACAAAAAAGAGGAAAAACTAATAATGGGAACTATTTGCGTATATTCTTGATATAAATTGTTGATTTTTCGTTAATCGACACAGCCCGGCAGGGCACCGGTTTGGAAATGTGACCTCAGCATCACGGACGTTTGCACCCTTCCAACATATAGGTATTCAAGATGACGAATGGTAAATGTCTACACACCTTTATTTCACTATCCTTAGCTAGGAATGATCTTGTCTCTGCAATGTATCCGCAATGTCATTCAATACTGCTGCAAAAAAAATAAGCGCGTATCTTAACTGTTAGCCTCAGGAAGAGCAATGTATATGTTGACTGGGAGCAACCGTCAATAAAGAACACGTTTCAAAATTCCGTCGTATGTTCGGTCGATGTTATTTTGTTAAGGATACTTTTTATCTTATTCTAGAATGGCCCTAGACGGTTATGTGTGTGTTTTTGCTTTGTGTTTTTGCACGATTGTGGTGATATTGTGTGGTCAGGTCTTGTTTTTCATAGCTTCTGCCACATGGAAGTGTGTGAATATCGCTGTACCAGTGATATCTCACTAAATGATTTTATTGCTGAACTACATTTAATGTAAAAAAAAAAACTTTAATACAAAAATCGGGGGTAACATGGTATCGAAAATACCTTGATATCCAACTCTTCAGTTTTTCTACAAAAGTATACACCATCTAATAAATTGTATCTGCATCACACGCACATGATATTTCCCGAGTATACACGTATTGTACATATACATTCCGAATTCCGATTAGTATACCTCATTAAAATATGTCCTTAATTAGCCCTGCAATTTTTGTTAGTGTCAGGCATTATAAGTAATATTGACACGCCAGGATACATACATTAGTAAATCAACATAGACAGAAGTAATGATACAGGTTGATGAAGTATGTTTTGTGAGTAAGCTTTGCTCTGCACTTTAGATTATCATAGCCTTATACAGTATATTTAAGTATACTTGTTACATACTGTTTATCAAACCATTATCATCCCAACAAGTTAACAACAGTAGTTTATGGATAAATATTATCATACACAATAGTCCGAAATATCAGACTCGAACATGTTGGTACTACAAATATACCGACACCCGTATATGTTCTGTTTAGATAATTGTACCAGTAGTTACTGTATATTACAGGTACTTTTGCAGCAGTAGCTAGGTTATGTAGATACAGATATAGATACACTTGATCACACTAGCCTAACCAATTCTTAACATACGTACAATGGCTTTTCATTCAAGTGTTGTTTACAGTTCTACTTTACATCGGTCGAGTGTATCTCCTTTGCCCATATACAGCTCTGTATAACATAATAACTAAGACCTATGAATTGTGTAAGTTTCCCTAGTGGCCAGTAATATACAATTTTCTTTTCGATGTTGTTAAATATGGGTCTAATCAGACTGCTTGTTTATTGTGATGTTTACCTTCGTAGAAACATATTGTTTTTGCTCACTTTCTGCTAAAGCAGACACCGTGTGATGGATAGATTTCAAACAGAACAGTAGTTTTGGGGGGGCTAGACCATGTGAAGGTAAACATGCCTTTGCAAAGAATACCTTTCTAGTTAGATATAGAATATATCGGACTGAATCACTCTGGGGTCGCGAACTCTGGGGTTAGGCCGTGTAGGCTCAGTCTGCAGCCGACCACGTGGTTCAAGTTCCTCATTCTCTGGAAGGGCTCTTCCGCGAAAGGGCCTGGGTCGCGCCCCCTGGCGTAAATGCCGGTCTGATGCAGTGTGTCCTGGTGGAGGGTTTGCTGTGGTCCCCTCCCCAGACGTTCCCAGGTTCTGATATAGCGAAGGCTGTAGCTCCTGATAGCCGGATATCTACGATGAAGAAATAGATGGTTACTGTCACGAGATACATTACCATAATACTGTACTACTATATTATAATACACTACCTCATGCTATACAGTTGTGGCAAAGGCTCTATACATACATACCAACTATATAGCTATGCCCACAGAGAATGCTATGGAGAAATACTGTATAGCTATACACATGTTGAAGTTGACGTTGAAAAGATGTTAACCATTGATAACATCAATCGGGTACATGTTTGATATGCCGTACAGTAAGGTACCTGTTGGATTGTATCAACGTAATCGTCCGTGTCGACAGTAGGACCTGCCAGCCGTGGGGTTTGACTCGGGGTCCTCACAGAGAGGCCATGGGCCACAGGCCTAGGGGTGTCGTACAGTGGCTGACTGATGCTTGGTGGATCGTTTGGGCCTCTTTGGTCGGGGGGCTGGAACCAATGGAAAGATATTGAAACAATGTCAAATATATATATATAATTATATAGCATCAAAACATGTAAACGGGGATGGATAGATATCATCATTTTCTACGCATTTCTTTAAAACAGGGACAACCTTTTTGCTTGTTTATCACAATCAAATACCTGTTGGATTGTATCATCGTACTCCATGTCGCTAGTATGACTTCCCATGCGTGGACGTTGGTACGGAGTACTCTTAGGGAAGTCTGGAGCCACAGGATCATAGTACAGGGGTTGGCTGATACTGAGTGAATCATCGTCGCCAACGTTTTGATTGCTGGAAAACGTGTTTTCCGTGGCCACAATGGACGCTTGGATGGTGCTGCAAGACTGGTAGACAAATAAAAAGGTATAGAATGTCATTCAAATTCATTATCGTTCTATATTATTCATTGCGCAATGAAAAGTATATGTAACGTAGTTAGAATGGACATATATGGATATTGTGGCAATTCAAATAGAACTAGAAAGGCCAATATTTGCTTTGGAGCAAATACAGCGATGGGTTCACCACATTTTACGACATGGCAGGGAAAGAATGAGAAACACAAGGGAAAACAATGATTTACATTGATATAACTATAATATGAAGTAAAATACAACTAAAACAACAGTTGGATAGCTATTCCCTACTTTATTGGTTAGGATTTTTAATTGCATAATGCAAACTGTTGATTTTCAAAATAAAAAAAACGTGCATGCCCCGCATTCCAATGCTGGAGCAGGAAAGCTTGAAATACCTACCAAAACACTTGGAATACAGACATTCTGTCAGTATGGAAATGCTCTGTGCAGGTGTTAATCAAGTTAAATCCCAACAGCCAATCAGCAAGAAATGCTCTGTGCAGGAGGAAATGCTCTGTGCAGGTGTTAATCAAGTTAAATCCCAACAGCCAATCAGCAAGAAGTATAGAGGAAAGCTGCATGCCTATTGGTTGATGCCCTGCATTCCATTGTGATGACTCATGCCCAAACGTGGTAAACAAGGCACACTAACGACAGGTAATACATTTGCTATAACACAGCCAAAAAACTCAAATAAAACCATTCTAAAAAGCCTGC